CGAGCAACCATGTCAATCATAAAAATAATGATTGACATGGTTATGAGCCATGTGATCATCTATAGCTGGCCAAAAACACCAATACCGGCACACTACAACTCTATCATGGAGGCCCTCTACAATGACGAAAGCATCGTGTTAGCTATTCAGAGAATCCTTCATGTGGAAGTAGCTTTACATGATATATTGCACAATGGTTTCGCCATTGAAGGGTGTCTCATGACACTGAGCACTTGCCCGGATTCGTCTAAACCAAGAGAGCTGCTGAATTAAGGTTGCACAACCAGCCAAAGATAGATGCGCCCATCTCCTTTTGCCCAAGACCGAGCCACAAACTGGCACACACACGCACAGCAGCACACAGACATGGGAAAGGTGTGAATCGAGGATTTTCTTTTGTTCCTCTTCCCTTATTATCCTTTTTGTGTACCTTAACTTTTTCGCAACAGCTCTCATTGGTTTTGTACACGTTTTCCATCCGAGGAGTCCTCGATTTGGTTTCTGTCCTCGATTGATCGATGATATTGCATGTGTGTGTCCTCGATTTACACCATAAACACCATAAACACCATAAACACGCGCACTACGCTCACATGTTGAATTACATGTATCTTGTCAACTTTAAGCCACGACTAAGTATTTTTTTACTATCTCCGTTTTGAAAAAGTTTATTATAACTACAAATTAACGTAAAGGCCAGACGGCCATTTTTTTAATCCAAAAATGAGTACGTTTGAAGGTCCTTTAAAATGTTTAAGTATTTTACTGGTTATAGTTGTACAAAATATGGATAGAATTCTAAAAACAATAAACTTTTATGTGTTTTGGGTGAAAAGATGCGCCAAAATATTATTGAAATGGTGGCCATTTTGAAAATCAAGATGGCCGCCAAACATTGGCTCGACAAAAAAGGTACCAGGTGCATATCTGTCTCGCAGGCTGGAATATTACGCTAAAAACATTTGTTGCACGATAGCAAAATTACCAAAATCAGATTTAGCACGTACACAATCGTGGACTATGGTCGCCGTTCGCACTGATAGCACCGTTTGTTTGATAGCAAGGGTCGACCTAACGGGACAAACTCCAGCCATTTAGCCTGAACATATCGAGTATCAAGTGGAATTTTCCAATCAGCGATATGTTAATTGCGATAATTGAAGAATAACGCATTGCCACACACGAGAACAACGGTTATCACAATACTGAGGCGTAACTGCTGCGCATTCGGCTCAACCATTGTCCGGGGGAAAAATGGAAGGGGTTTTGCACTTCGTTACCGACGTTTTTGCAACTTGTAGCGCTTATTTACTTGACTGTATATAAACGCAAGGGAACATAGTTTTATGGTCACGATTATGGTCAGTTTAATGAAGCATGACTTACTCAATGAGAGCTCTGTTTCAGTGAAATTCTTCTCTTTTTGTAAGATCAATGTATACATTGTTGTGCCCCGCTGGGTGTGACATCGAAAACATGATCTCATGTAACTAATACGTAAACTTGTGCATCTTTAAATTTTTACCCTACATAAAAAAGTAAACATTTCTGCATACAACACAATATCAGAGAGGCCCGAGACCAGAAAATCATATAACAACAAAGATTAAACAGAAGGAAAAGAAGGAATTGCACAAAATATAATAGGCGTGGGGGTTCGAACGACCCATCCCAAATTTATGAGCCCACTTTTGGGTGTCTTTTTTTTTTTTAAATCTCGACACTTGTTTGAAGGTATTATTTGAAAATTGAACTTTTGATTATGATTTTTTTTAAAAAACTTTCATTCACAAATTCCTTCAAATGATGCAAGTGTTTACTGATCATGGCGTAATAAGACAAGTACCTGCTGGACACCTATCGCACCAATCTCAAAAACAAATGCACCGAACAATTTTCTGGGTTAATTTTACCCAAGATTTGGTGAAAACTGCAACTACCCAAACTTGGGTTGTTCTATACCCAATTGTTTGGGTTAGAATTTCTGTTAAATTCAACCAAAACTTGAGGTCATACAAGACTCACTTAAATTTGGTCTTGTATGGCCATAACTTTTGGTTGAATTTAACAGAAATTCTAACCCAAACAATTGGTTATAGAACAACCCAATTTTGGATAGTTGCAGTTTTCACCCTTTCTTGGGTTATTTTAACACAGGCAATTTTTCAGTGTGGGTAATTGTTACTCAAGTCAACGTTCTTACTCGAAGAAGGTCAAAATACCGACTGCCTATTTTAGGCCAATTCTACCCCTATTATGAAGTAAAACTGTGCTCGAATAAACCAAAAAATGAGGTCGCTCCACCAGAATAACCGAATAGAAAAAAAACACATTCTGTCCCATTTTCCCGCAACCTTTTTACAGTGCAACTTCAATTTCAAATCAGCTAATCTTCTCGTAGTGGAGGTTTGTATAATTATAAACAGTGGTCTCAGATACTAAACTAAATAATCACGCCCTCGATAAGTGTAAGGCCCCATTTACGCATGCACCAAAAGCAAATTTCCTATAAACCAGAGTAAATGAATAGACAACATGTCGGAAAAAAACCTGCCCTTTAATTCATGAAAAAAGACCGAGAAAAATAGAACAACATTCCACGACGGTTGCCTTACCTCCTCCATTCTTATAGCAGAGATATGGGAACCTCCAGACGTTGCCCAGGCCCACCGCGTAGCCGATACATGCCATGATGAAGTCCAGTTTATTCCCCCATCCTCCCCTCTCGACTTCCTCCTCCATCAGTTGCTCCTCGTCATCGTCCCCCTCCTCCATCTCCATCTGCTCGACATCAAAGGGAACTACCCGGCCTTCCGTCGCCTCCACCGACTTCGGCTTACCGTCAGCCCTTCCTTTGACTTCTGCAGCTGACATTTCCTCAGTCATGGTTGGCGCCAATACAGTATCCCTTCTATGAGTAGCAATGTCTTAGAACATTTGCCAAGTCACTCTAACGTCTGTCGATTTAAACCCCTCTTGGTGTTGCTTAGCTTAGCAAAGCCTTGGTGCTTACTAAGACCGAAAATTGTCTGCGCAACCCAACTTACATTAATGAGTAACTCTTTATATACTGTTTACAATTAGATAAGGCACATTCAGCTTGTTGAGAGCGCCACCCTCTACTGCCGATGCAGCTGGGAGTGAGCATCGACTAACTTCCCTCGAAGGAGGGTTGGACTACTATAGTCCACTATTTGGAACGGAATTACAGGGCTCGGTTCCGTCGCTGGTTACCAAGAGCTGCACGCATCGTAAAGCAAACCAGGGAGCCAGGACAAAAGAGTTCTGTGATGACGTTGTGACCATCGTTTGACTGGGGTCGTACTAATAAGCGTCAACACATTCAAGAAGCTTCAACACACCGTCAACGCTTCCAAAACGCATTCTAAATTGACAAAAAAAGCATAGAACTGTAAAATTTAGTCTAAAAGAGATTTTAGGTGGGTCAGAGGTTACACTTCGTTCACGGAAATGGAGATTTTTCTCGCGAAAAAAAATCTCTAAGCAGCATGGCCGTTGTCCGCCATCTTGCCTTCGCACGGAGAATGGACTACAGATATTTCAGATATGGGTGTGTAGGTAATACAATTATCATGTCGTATGCGGATTCACACGTAACGACCGCCCTCTGTTGATTTATTGTATAATGCTATCACCACCGTTGCGTAATGGTATGGTCCGCGCTGCCCCTGAGCCAACATGGCCGCCGATTTTAGAGCTGCACGGAGAGCCAATTTTCTTGAACTGAAAATTGCAATTTTCAGACGTTTGACCCATTGATTTTAAGCCACAATTTCATTTTGCCCCTACTGTATGGTTTGAACACTGGTTTTGTCAATTTAAATGCGTTTTGGAGGTGTTGACGCTGTGTTGACGCTGCTGTGTGTGTTGACGCTGTGTTGACGCTTATTAGTATGACCGTTTCACTGTAGAATTCGCTAGCGATTCAAAATACTCCCGTATGTGGGGTACAAAATTGAAAACTTTTTCTCCAAGTCGGTAATTTTGATCAGAAATAGTCAGCATCATTTGGTCTGGGAATCAGACTACGCGCGTTGCAGCGATATTTTGCGTGCGTGGAGCCAGTAACCGTACGTAACACAACTACCGACTTGGCACCAAGTCTAGACGGTGTTCGGAATCATAATATTTTTTAAAGAGCAAATTGCATTGTTTATCCAATCCACACCAAAAGTCAAGAGATACGAGTGGTACTTTACAGTCGATCATCTAGTTCCTTTTACATTGACCGTGAGTCCTTTATTGTTCATTTTTTTTCATATACTGCCAAACGAAAACAAAAATCATTCATAAATCATACAAATATTTACACCTCCGTTATTACATAAGTAATCGTTCGGGAAATATTTATACAAAGGAACATGCCATAATTACCTCAGACCCCATTCTCTAAAAGGTTTTAACTAAACTGATGGAAAGTTGGTACGACGACTAGTGTTTCCCGACATCTTTTCCACCATAAACAAAAACAAAAACATGTTTCGTTTGATCGCTTAGATGTAACTTAACAATAGAGTACAGAGATAAGCGCAATAACTTTGTGAAACAAAACTATTTAATTGTGATCGAATCATCAAAATATATACAGATATTTCGAATAATCAAAATATATACAACCATTTCGAACACTTGCATTTAGCTATGTCACCAAACAGAGTAGAGGATATGTTACATTCAGCGCCCTTGTATCCACACAAACCTCTGTACAGCATAAAAGAATACAAATGCATAGATAAATATAATAGATTTAAAACTGGAAGCAATATTCCTCCTGTTCTCTAAAAATAATGCTTTACACTTATGTGATAAAATTGAGGGAATGGTTTGCCAACTTAACACAACACAGTAAATCTCAGGTTGACTGTGTAAGTTGTTTTTGTGCAGTTCGGCTTGGTACAATTTGTGGAAACAACGATTAGCTAACGAGGTAGGTATATCTTTAAAGATGCATACCCAATGCTCTTACAAAACGAATGTTGTTTTTCCAAACGTATTCTCAATTTGCATGTTTCGGTTTAGTGAAGAAACTATTTTATTCCAAATGTTGACGTCTGCCACCCTCCGAAAAAGAGCTTTCACTTTGTGCAAAAATAACCCGCACTGCGCTATGCGAGGGCCGAATTATTGTCTGGCAGCCATGAATGCGAATGTTGTGAAGAAATAATTGAAAAACTAAACGTCGGTGGATTTTTGTTGTTCAGTGTCTCATTCAGAAGTGAATAATTTTCATATTGTTAGGAAAATAGTAATTGAAAAAAAAAATCTAATTTTCGAGGTGACACTCGAAAATAGCACGGGAAATGCATCTTTGTAAAGAACCAACGATGAAATGTGTAATATTTTGCATTGTTATTTTGGTCGTTTGATCTCTGTCGTTTGTCATTGTTATTTTCGTGTTGCCTTGATTTCAGATTTTTCATGGGTTTTTAAAAGCTGCTTATCTTTATTATATACAAGCATGAAATAAAAACAGGTAGATAATCCCCGAGTTGAGAAAAACCACAAACCTATAGATCTCTCTCATAAGACGCCATCTTCGTAGGAAAATTACAACTGCGTGTTCAGGTGTTGCTCGAAATTTACGGCGCAGCCGATGCGAGTCACGAAAATGTGACACCCAAAATGCCGAAGCACGTTACAATCTGCATAGGAAGTGACGTCATTTGAGAGGGCCTATTAACTTAAAACAAACAATCTTTTTTGCATTAAAACAAAACAGTTTAAAGAAAGGGTTTCGAATAAAAATCACTTATGGATTCAACGAAAATGAATATCACATGGCCAATTAAAACACATAATATTTTAGGCCAGATTAGAGATAAACAGTTTCAAACTTGCTCATCAAAAGTGTAGCCTATTTTGCTTTAATCCTAATCTAAGGCAAGCAAACCACTGTGCCTACTTTTAATTAAGTACTGTTCATACATATACAGTTTTCACCCCGTAAAGTTTGAGCGTTTAAGTACATTGCCAACGAAATTCATAAATGCAAAGTGCATTAATGTGACGCCGCAGAAGTGTCAATTAACGTATCCATGGTAAAGGCATTATAATGTTTTTCATTCTTCTCTGTATATTCATTTTGCTCTATCAAATCTGGAAATAGACGAAGAATTATGTCAGAGCCATTCACAATTATGTACAATTGATAATACTTATTAATGAATTCTTAAAGAAAATACTTTGTTGTCAAAATTCACACGGGAAAAGAAAACAACTCAAAAGGACATAACAGGATAAACTCCAACAATACACTGGATACATCCGAAAACCAATAAAAAGATCAGGTTTATAGACTAATGAATGGAGCTGCGTAAGGATCAAATTAAAACCAAAACAAAATAAACGAATGGAAAGAAAATATTAGTACTTAATCACAAGCTTTGGAGAAAGTGTCACAAAGTCTAGGCTAATGTGCTTTATGATACAGGAGTTTAATGTATGTATATAATAAAAAAAAATTAAAAAAAAATTTAGTCCATCTTGTCCCGACCCCATTTGGCGATGATCTGCAAATGATTAATAAACTATATTATTGACAAACGTAATATCTGTGAACCAGCACTGTGCCGAACGTGGGCGTAAAATAAGTACATTCCATCTTTTAAAAAAAGCCGTCATGTTTGTTCTCTTGATTTTAGCTCCATTTCGAGGTAAAGAAAGAACTATACTAGGCTTCACGAGGAGCTTTGTTGCTAAATCCAAGTGCAACAACTTAACTTCGTGACCTCCTGATAAACAATTGCCTATTGCAATGGAACAGGAAAACCTATACTCCGTGCAACATGGCGTCCGTTCGTACATTTTTACCAAACAAAAGTTTAAAAACGAGGCAGCAGATGAAGAAACTAGGAATATCACGGCAGCCTGCAGCGTGAATACATGCATTTACATATTATGCAACGATGTAAAGAAATCCCTAATGGGTTTATACAGACACAAGCTGATTTACCCGATCATAGATCGGGTAGTGCGTAGTGTTGGGGATGAAAATGTGGGGAGTTAAATGTAAATGGGGGATATAGTTGGGGAGACATGCAGTTATAGAAAAGCAATTTCTGTGGTGTGATCTGAGACAATTTCTGAGCACTAAACCAATTTGAGCAAAAGATCATCTTTTAAAGTTTAAATTTGAGTTTGGAGTAATCAGCTACATGTATTCTGAGGAATAGAATCATTATTGTAGGCTACAATTTTTATTTGGGGAAGAAAAAGTGGGGGATACCATCAGAGGGGTCGTCAAAACATTATTTTGAAGCAAAAGAGGAGTCTCTATGGGATGTGTGAGGTATATTAGTCTACAATGTTTATAGGGTATACGGACATTGGTACCCCTCTGTGTATGGTATACGTAAAAAAAAAACCCGACCAACCGTGTCAAATATTGTGACTACAATATGCATCCGCTAGCTTCATTTCAAGTCGCGCTTTCTTTACTCCTCCTCGTCACTATCTCCAGTGCGAACGTCGAGACGGATGTCCCCGTTGTCCTTGGTATAACCCTCGTTATCGAAGGCGTTCCCCCCATCCACATTTTTCTCGTACTTTGGCGGGATACTGTCTCCATCACGGTCTTCTGACGAGTGCACGCTACCCCCATCCACGCTGCTATCTTCCACTGGAAGCGGGTTCTCTTTCTCCTTGGGGAAGACGCGAGCTGTTGCCATATAGCGCAGCCGCTGCGGGAGGAATCAATGCAAACTTACTATCACGTAGTCAAGTAATCATTAAGTAAGTCCATTACAAGTCATCGCAAGTTGTCACAACTCATCATAAATCAGTCACAAATCAATCATAAGTCACCTCAAGTCATCGCAAGTCGTCACAAGCCACATCATTCATAGTCAATAACAAGTCAATAACAAGCCATCACAAGCCATCACAAGTAAATCAAAAGTCGATCACAACTCATCAAATCTCAGCCATCAAACCTCAAGTCATCACAGGTCATTACATTCCCTCAAGCAAAAGTTCTTTGTTAGTTGCACATTTAAACAAATTTAAAGTGATAAGTTGACCAAAGTTATTGTTAAAAAAATGTTACCTCTCTAGCTGTGCCCGGAGTGACAACGAAGAGATAAATAGCGTAAGTGATGACCCACTGCATAGAAGCAAGTGACATCATCCAGCCAAGAATCTCCCCACTGATGGGGAAATAGTAATCGTCTCCATACTTTGGTCCGGAGTAGTCAACCAGACTGAAGATAAAAATACCCTGAAAAGAACAGAGTGGCAAATATCCATCATGTCAAGGATCTTTTTCCTTTTTTTGTTGTAAAGTGGCTCAGAAAAATAAACGAGGGACATAGAACCAGTCCGTTTTGGGGGGATAAGCACAAACTTTTTAAAAAATTTTCGTGGGGGGGGGGGAACTCTATGCTCAGACATAAGGTCAGACATGTCAGATACGTTTATATTGTGATTGTCGCATTCAGTTTCTGGAGGCTAACAAACAAGATTTTGATAAACCCGAAGTCTAATATACCATACTGAGAGTTGATTAGACTTTATTCACCAGTCAGCCATATTAAATTGAAAGCGAGGTCATGTCTTAATTTTTGGAACTTGCGAGTAGAAATGAAAGCAATGAAATAAAGTTGATTACAAATGAAATACCAGTCTTCTCTGATGACAAATTTAAAACGCGATTAAACATACATTGTACCCTACTGTTTTAAGCCACATTTAAAAGAAAAATTGAAAGTGAGGCATGGAACGCACGGCAATCACAAAATAGTCTGGCACCATCCCATTCAACTGTTTACAAGTTATAAAATAGATTCAGGGAATACGATCGCAAATGGCTTCCCTGTGAATAAGATCTATAAATGAGAACAAGCAGAACCCAAACCACCACTTTTGGCCAAAATAAGTAACATATTATGCTGCCATTACCTTCTTCCACTGGAAGCAGGTTCCAGAATCCACATTAAATTACTCTTTTCCCGGTATCTGACCATAAGCCTATGCATTGAAAATAATCCAAACTCAGAAACCTCAGTTCGGACACTCTTCTAAAACAAATGAAAAATGCGTGGGGTTGGTCCCCTCTCGTTCTCTTCCACTAAGTTTTTTGTGATTCATCTGCAAAAAAAACTTAACAAACTCGATTATCAAAAAAACAATTTCACGGGAACTTACCACAGTCACAACCGGTGTGAGTATAGCCCAGCTGATGGGCCAGAACCAGCCGGGAGTGAAGGTAAGCATGGTGGTGACATCTCGGTAATATCGTCGGATCCCGTAGCCGTAGGATATCGTGATGCACTCCAAACTGGCTACCCACAACAGCGGCATACCGCTGGCCGCGTAGGAATCCAACAACTGGAACATGTACATCCCGCCCTGGTAATAAGTGGAAATTAAATAGTGAGATTGGAGGGCATTCTAAACTATAGTTTGGAGACGGGTGAGCTTCCCAGCATGCTTGGTTACGTCTGGCGCAGTGGGTACCGGTACGAGCATTGCAGTTTTTAATGCCTGCTTGAAGACGTAGGCCTACGCGCAAGTAAGGTATGTGACTTCACTTATGACTTCCGCGGCCGGAGTAGTATTCAGCTTGTCAAACAAAACACTTTTTGGTAAATACTCTATCAACATAGTTATATTGAAGCTCCTTATATTTTTTTAAATGACCACCGAACCACTTAAAGTTGTAGTTTCTCGTCAATCGAATCACGGATCCTACACACAAGGATTAACGACTCAGCCAAACTCACGGTTAGATGCGCGATAACAGCCCGCACAGGTGGCAATTACCATGAAAACTTGTCAAAAAAGACCCAGACAGCTTAACCGCTTCACTCACTGCGCGCGGCGAATTTCAAATTTGCAGGGCTTTGCGCCCGATCTGGTGTCGAATTAACCTGTCAAGCCAGCTAATTATATTTTGAATATTCATGATCCTACGTTTTTGGCCTTCAAACTACATAACCATGTTAACGCCAAGCACAATACCTTTAGCTTTAAAATGAAATATGAAATGTCGCATTTGTTTCATCGGTTCAGGACCACATCTCTCTAAAACTTTTTGATGAAAGCTGGGTAAATGGTGTTCTCCTCGAAAAAGGTGTCACATTTGACGTTTATTTCCCGGGTAAATACTTCATCTATGACGACCAAAAACTGCACAATGTCATCTGTTATATCCTGAGATATTTATTTTTGTACAATTTTGGAACAAGAATATCTTACATAAGCTGGTTTCGCTTAAAGTTTTATGAATATTTCCGTTTTATAGATGTCATGCGAAAAACTGACAAAATGGCACACCTGGAACATTCGCGATTAACATGCCAACGGGTATTAAGGCCCGTTATCACGCGTCAAACCAATATTAAGGTAAGTTCGTTCAGCGCATTTTGTACTAGAGCTCAGGACAGTCGTTCATCCTTGTGTGTGGGATCCGTGATCGAATCAACCTAACGAATGTATCTAAATGTGTTTGTTTGTTTTTTGGCCAAATTGCGCGCGAATTACTAAAACGGCTGACTCTGTTCAACGGTGTCTTCACTTACTTCTGTGAGGCACATGAATCCCAGGAAAAAGTCGATGACGCAGATGGAGATGACGAAAATCGTCCGATTCTTTCTGAGACGGAACTCTGGAAAGCCGTCCATGAGGGAAGTGATGAAGCCCTCAACGACGCAAAACTACCCGGAAAAAAGAAAGAAAGACAAGAACTTAATGACTCGTCATTCTTGCCAGTCTAAAAGCGAGCTCCCAACGAACCCCTGAGTCTAGGTTGAATGGACTCCGTGCACAAATTCCCCTCAAAGGTTTCAAAGAGAATTTTGGGGAAAGACCATTGGGAGAGACTCTCACTGCATTGCGGACGACGCTAGACGCTCAGGCGAAGATGTCAAGGTTTGTAAAAAGTTAAAGGTAAAGCTTCCCATAGCCATTACTGGCCGTATAGGGCAGTGGGATGTTAGAGGTCAACTGTGTCTTGGGCGCGGCATATTATGAGTGTTGCCCATCTCCTCTCCTCTCGCCGTCTTACCTTCCCTGAACGAATCAGGTACCCATTTTTTCACTGTTGGGTCGTCAGAGAGAGTTTTCCAGTTTTTGGTCCGAATTGGATTCGAACCGCCAGCCTTCCAATCCGTAGCTCCACGCTCTAACCAATCGGCTATACGAGGCCCCTGCTGCAAAACTAGGTTTGTGCAAAATATTTGATGGTTTAGAACTGCGACTGTAATGCTTTTATTTCCACAGAAACAAAAGTAAGTTACCTGACTGTCCAGACCCAGCATGACCAACATGGCGAAGAACAAGATTGACCAGAAAGGAGCAGCAGGCATGGTATCAACAGCCGTCGGGTAGGCAACAAATGCCAACCCTGGCCCTGTACAATAAAATCACACAAACAAATATCCAGGTTAAAGACGCTCTCTTGTGAACATTTTAAATGCACATAGTGCTGACATAACTGGAAACAACGTCAATATTTACCTTCATCTGCCACTTGTGAAACGTCCACTTCTTGTATGAAGGCCATGTAGCCCAGGACAGCAAAGATGACGAAACCCGCGAACAGACTGGTACCCGCGTTCACGATGCCCACCACAATGGTATCACTGACAGTTAAACAAGCGCGGGAAAAATCATGACAGTGGCATCACCTAAAAGTCTAGTACGAATGACAACTTGGCGTTTAAACTCATTCCCTCTCAATACAGACGACTTTACTAAAAAGAAATATTTCTGCCAGGGAAAATCAAAAAGTCACACAAATGCTTTTGAGACGTCTTTTGACTTACATTAAACAGTTATTTCTGTAAGGGTTGTAGCTACCGAGGGATATGAGAGAGCCGATACCCACACCGTAGGAGAAGAAGATCTGAGTAGCAGCATCAACCCATACCTAGAAGGACCAAGAAAGAAGGTGTACTCAATAACCTCTAGTAACATAATGGTTAGTAACAAAGGAACAAAATCGAAAGACAAATGCTGTCCGACAGAAAAACGACGCCTGGAACCTCAACACAACAGACAGCGCAGTCATTATAAGTCATGACGCGACTAGCTTCTCGACAGAAACGAGCTGTGTGTGGGAATCTCTACGGGAATCCTGTATTAAAGGACCTTACAGTGTCTGATGTCTGTGTCACGTTTTTTTGGCAAATTTGTTTCTTTCAGACTTTCAGTTGTTAAATATTTATTACAATATTATCCTATAAGGAAAACACTCCGAAACGTTTCGCTATTACGCAAAACAGAACATTGATGATGAAAAATGGGCCAAAATATCCTTTAACTGTCGCTCGTACGATTTTCGTAATCGAACGATATGAATATATATGCATTTCGAAACTTGACTCAAAAATACGCAAATTGAGGGCACATTGATCATTTTGTAAAACACCCGGCTAGCGGGATGCGATATTTATTCCGTACACATACATTCGTTATGGGCGTTCGAAGTACGTTGAGCCACGCTTTTCCGCTGGTTGGTATAGAAAGAGTCCCAAACACATAACTTCAACTATGTAAGCTATGTATAAGTACTTTAACGTCAATATGGCCCAATTCCCACTTTACATAATTTCAGTGGGATATAATCTTATTTTAGCGTAGCTAGAAAGGTGAATCATGGAGCGTTCGAGATCACGAACACCACAACACAGGCACCGTATAGGGACGAAAATAGAAACAGAAATATAATGGAAACAGAACTATATGGAAACAGAAATATTAAAATGTTAAAAATGGCAACGTAAGATCTTGTGTGGGTTAATCTCAGTATAACCTTTTTTTAGTGGAGTGTGTACTGTATGCTTACCGTGGGTTCAGTGAGTTTGTCAAACGTAGGCGTGATGTAATAGATAATACCATCATAAGAGCCTTCTAGAAGTACACCGTTGATGAGGAGGATAAGCAGGATAGCGTAAGGAATCAGGGCCGTGAACCAGACGATCTGAAAGAGAGGATAAAAAGAACTATGTTAATATTAGGGTAGGAGCCGCAGAGCCCAGAAATGTGCTACAGGTAGAAAAGAAACTATTTCCAGCACTTCTGCTGTCTACACTGACGATCTCATTGTAATTCTTTATCGGTGATTGTTGTATTAGTCTACCTTTCCAGTCGTTTTGACGCCTCTCCAAATACAGAGGAATGTCAGCACCCAGGCAAAGGCAAGGCATCCTATGAGATCCCAACGAATACTACCGACCTCTTCAAAGCCTCCACTTATGTGTAGCACTCTTCTCCTGCACGGGTCAAAAATTGTGGAAATACAAATTCTACAATTGACAACAGCAAATCACTGTGTTAGCATAACAATTACGCTGGAGCTGAATTGCGTAAGACACACAAAACAAACAAAAAGACCAATCAACACAAATTCATACGCAATTGGTAATTTAAAAACAAAGAGTGAACACGAATGGGTCACGGTGGTGTTTTTTTTACAGTACGGATGCCGCTGCCTGCCAAACTCACTCCCAATATTGTTCGGCGGATGACTCGCCTAACTCCTTAGGCAGCAACGAGCCGTTGGTGGACAGAAAGTACGACTTCTTGATGTCAGCGGTCAAGTTAGACTGCAGCTGCAGCTCGCTGCAGAACTCGTTGTTCCAGTAGTTGCTGCAGTCGTGCCACGGAAGTTCGCTGGTGAAGGAGACGAACATATAGAACAGAGACCACGACACGATGATGATGTAGTATACGTTCAGCATGGCGGCGATGGTGGCGGCGGACAGACCAACACCTGGGGATTGATATAGGTCAGACCTTTAGCGATACAGACTAGAATTACGAAGATTATAACTCCCCTCACGTCTTCTTTATTTAGTTTTGTTTGCCAGCTAAGATGTCCACCTTTTAAATGCAATGTTGGCTTTATGGGTGCACGCCACCATAAACCTGTAAATCAGTGCGCGCGAGCTCATTAATATTTTGTGACCCCTCAGTTTCTTTTGAATAAGAGGACCTTGCGGCTTATAATTGGGGTAGATTGTAGAAATATTTATGTCAGTCAAGTATTTGTGACTTGTGGCTTCCAACTCAGTCGATTTTATTCGAAAAAAAGCCGGACTTGTGGGTCTATTTCGCATAGAGGCGCGGGGGGGGGGGGGTTACATTTAGACCTGGGCCCAGGAATTAACAACCGTTTTAGGGGTGGTTTTGGGGAGGGGAATATAAAAAAAGATTGACCCGGTTACCACTAATAAAAATGAAAAAAAAAATGTTCAGGGGGTCACAATCTTTAATTTCCAGGGGAAAAAATGCCACCTTGCTCCTGAGCGTCACAAGGCGGCGCCCTTTGTGTACGATATTGCGTTGTTTCCCTATGAGTACGTATTTGGTGTGGTGGAACCTTATACCGACTTGTTGTGCAACCGTCAGTGCATCTGACCGAGCATCATTCAACTCGTTGTCAACACTTGGCAAGGATCCAAATGCTTTGCAGGAAAAAAAATGTCACCGGGACGGACTATTGTTTATGGAACCCAAAAGAAACAAAGCAGCTTTTTCTATTATTTTTGTTGACGGTGGTCTAGGTAGTGGTGGAGGGCGGGGGCGGGGGTGTTAGAGGAGGATTAAATAAGTGAAAGATAGAGTGGAATACTTTGAGAGTTGTCTTACCTTTTATAGCGGGGAATAGTTCCCAGACGCTGATGCCTCCTGTTTGAAGCATCTGACCGAGTGAGACCTCCATGAGGAAGATAGGCACACCACACGCCACCAATGACACGAAGTAAGGGATAAGAAAGGCTCCTACAAGCAAATAAACCACAAAAAACACCAATAAATCATCAGTATGCTTCCAGAAATAATATTGATAATGACGTCCTTCCGTATTCCACACCGAACTCCAATAGTATGCCCTCGTATTTACTACTGTTACTTTTTTGTCACAATGAAAATCAAATATGCAGACTCAAACTAGGTTTTGCCCTTCATCGACATATAAACAGTGAATACTCAGTGTGTCAGTACCTCCCGAGTGAAAGTTGGAAAAAATCACTCGGGTAGGACTCGAACCCATGACCTCCTGCTTTCTAGTGCAGATTTCTTACCACTCAACCACCGAGAAATTATGAAATTTGCAGACTGTTGTATCAAGTTTTTCAAATAGAAATAATGGTCTCAGAAATTTCTCCCGCAGGTGGGTGAGTGTTGGGGAATCTTTAAAAGGGTGAGAAAATGATACGGCAGCCATTAAACGTAACTGTTTGCTACTCTATTCAAAATGCAATACAGCACACTCCGTTAAAATTGCAATTTTTTCTTACATGACAAATTGACATACATGAAATGACCGTGACAAAGTGCCAGGATCAACCGAAAGTTGGTCCGCAGACATGCGTGTGCATGCGCAAAAACCAACTTGAAAAAAAAATTAAAAAAAATCGCAGAAGCAAATTGCATACATTGATTGATAATCGTTGATCAGATGTTGCAAACAGGGGAGCGGGTTCACAGCTTGGGAAGGGGCAACATCGGAATTTAAAAAAAGAGGCTTGAGGCCTTTGGAAATCTGCCATTATCTGCCCCTCGCTCAGTAGAACTGTTTTCAGAGCAATAATGTAGGCCTACCATGTCCACACCGCTAAGGACAGGTGAAACAGACAGCTTGAGGGTTAAGGTGATGGATTTGCCTTTTCCTTTGAGCAAACAAGGAAGATGTTGGAACACACAGTCACCCCGAGTATCCTGTCCGCGGGCTAATTTGTTTCAAAATTCTCTTCGGCTTCAGTTCCAACAGACTCTGATATTTTACTGCACGGACAACAGCGTTTAAAATTTCCACGCACTAGGCAGTTGCACTTTTCGTTGCTTCGGAATTAAAGATAAAATGTGTAATCGAATGCGATTTTGTTTTGCAAAAGGAATCCATTAAATAAGAAAAAATACCATCAGATTGTTTTCAAGTGCCTAGAATATACAAGTCAATTAATAACTAATTGAAAATCTGAAAGCGGATTGATCGTGTATTTAAATGGGGACCTTTTTGCAATGTAAACCCCAGATCATTATTTTGGCATTGTTTAGTAACTTAGCCAATTTGCCAAATTATGTTTTAAAATAATAATTAATTGACACTTTTGACACATCATTGGACGAAAGTGTGCCGAATCAACACTTTGCATTCCATTATTTATCTTCCAAAATACATGACGCCCGATATAATATTATGTAACACGGATATGAGGGGCAGCATTAAATGAGGCATATAAATCGCTAATCAGCGATTATAAAACCCTTAAGTTGTAAATTTCCACTAGGTATTATCACGCACGGTACCATTCGTGGCCGTGTCAAAGCCTTGAGGTTGTTGGTCAACGTACACGAAATGATGATTACACGGAAACAGCATTATAAACTGCACCTTCGGTCATAAAGAAGAACATTGCCCATACATGAATACTGTGTACGGGCGACAGATCTTGCTAATCGCGTCTAAATTAGGGCAACACGCCTTATTGGGGCGAATAATTGGGAGAACGAATTTTAATGTAGCAAACCATCTATGTATAGATCGATTCCTCTGGTCCAAAATATAAGTATACCGAAATTCGTGGAGGCATGATAAGGTAAACTTGGGTTAGGTGACATTTTAGGTTTGTGCACAAGTCTATGGGAAAGTCGCCCTATTAATAGTATTGAGAAAGATTTTTATATCTTTTAAGATTAAGTCGTTTTAGAAGGGAAAAAAGAGACGTAAGATTCACAGCTTATAGGTTTCATACAAAAAGATTCATCTTTTTGGTAAATAGAAAATCATCATGTTGGTATAAACTCCAAGTTCCCAACACGGTTGGAGGTCATCCTTAATGTGCCCCACATTTCTTTTGAAACATCCTAAATTACCCTCGGTCAGTACCTTACCATATTCCCCATCTATAACGCTAACAGCCTTAATTGCCGAAGTATCGATCAAGCTCGAAACTTGTACTTTGGAAGAGTAAATTTGCTTTTCAAACCAGGCAGGTTTTGCAAACCAGGATTGTTAGTGGTATAGCGCGCTGCGTGGAACTTTACTCTAGTTTGTGTCAAAATTAAAATATAGGCCTATATATACATTTTTCTTAACTAATAGTTTGTATTTTTTGGGGTTTGCGACAAAATATCTAATGGCATGTTTTGTCGCTGTGCTGATAGTGAAATGACTATTAATAATGAGTATTCACAAAGCGCACGTATCCACCATTATTGGTGTTCAAGGCGCTACATCATTATTACCCCTGCGCATTGGGCCAATGAAATATTTCAAATACCATCTCAGCTCCCTGGGGAGTATACAGCTCGATGCAGTTATTTCGGCGCAAAGCAGCTTATCCCAAAATAACCATCTCTGCCCTCACAGGTACCTATTTACTCCTGGTTGGAGAGAAGCAATGAGTGACAAAGTGACTGGCCCAAGTGCACACGCACCATAACCCCGGGCTGGACTCGAACCCACAGCCTGTAGAATTACCCACAGACCAGGAATTCAGTGTTCCAGACCAAGAGGCCACGACATTAAATACAATGTTCCGTCTTAATTCAAATGGAAAAATGAAATAAAATCCCCTACCGAAGTTCTCAGATACTGTCCTGTTTACGGTATAGGAATGACCGAATGTTACCTGCTGCAGAACTTTCGAAATGTGAAGAAAAACATTTGAAAGAACAAAATTCTTCACAAACTCTTTGTAGGTCGATCAAAACTGCGTCATCAGACGTATACAATATCTCAGAAAATGTTAAAAACATTGCGTTTAACTATCAATTTAATTCGATTCAATATTGTTTTCATCACTATTAAAAAAACCTAAAAGTGAAATTCGTTTTCTCATTAAAAACCAATATACATAATTGAAGGACAGAATAATTTAGGTTAGGCGAAAAAGATATTCGAGGAAAGAAACTAGTATATATCTAAACCAATCAAAAGCCATAGCTAGAGGGACGATTGAAAAATAGTTTGCAAAAGGCCACATTATCCTCAAACAGTTTCGTGACGTAACAAAGTCATCAAACATTTTCTACTAAAAAAAATTACAAGTTCAATGGAGAAACTTGTACGGGAATGAGTTTAAATGGTATTATGTAATGAAAGAAAGAGTATGATCATTGTGTGTAAAAGTCTCCGAGCCCTATGCTTTTTCTTCATAAAACAAACTAAGGATTTTTTATCAGCATCGTTTCACAAAATTGCTCTTTTATGCTAGGTTCACACATTCCCGATTTTTAAGCCGAACCGCCACGAGTAGCAACTATTCTTGAGTAAATCGAGGAATGGTTCTTGGCTACTTCGGGATGATTCTGTTAGTTCGGTTAAAAGATTGGGAAGCACCCCGACAAAAACTGTCGGGGTTATTCGGGAACCAATTTCAATTCTTGGTTTATTCTTATGAATGGTTCATTCTTGTTGTATTCATAACTAATTCTGGATATTCTTACTGCATTCTGGATATTCTTACAGCATAAATGACAAGTTTTGTAGAGTTATTTTTGGTTAAACAATCCAGAATCATGCCGAATCATTATGAATGTATCAAGAAATGAACGAATATGATACAAATAACTTACGAATACACTATATCGGCATAATTATAAGTCATTCTGCATGACTCTTGAGTTATTCGTAAGTTAGTGTTGGCAAAATTGCTACAATTCGGTGTTATTCTGCACTAAATCGCAATCATTGAGCTACCTAGTTCTAGTACCGTACCTAGTTCTTGATTATTTCTGTTTCATTCTTAAGTTATTCTTACAAACAGCGAATCGGGGCTAATTTCTCCCGATGCCATCAAGAATTTTTATTCGGGATAGATCGGGTATTCGTTGCAATAAGTCGGGAATGTGTGACCCTAGCATTATGAGTTTAACCAACCTCTACAGAAATCCTCACTATGGACTTAATGAAGACTTTTTCGTACCAACTCAGGCACGCACCTTCCACCGGCAATTAGTATTGCCACAATTCGAGAATGCCACGGTTGTATTGGTTAACTGCTACCATATTGCGATGACAACTTGACAACATCATCCTAATACGCCATCTTGCCAACCCAGAAGCATAGTTAAATACAAAACTGAACGAATTACCGTTTGTTTTTTATCTCATTTTGTTAATAAGTCAAAGACAAAACATCCGCTAGCTTACACATCAAACTGAGCCGATAGTTAGTGAAGTTTAATTTTTATCAAATTGAAATGAATGTACGAAGCAAGGTAGCGGGAGAAACAAGATAATCGCATGTGAGAAATGACCAGCTGGCTTGGACGCGCGAAAAGCTATAGACAGCCAGCGAAATACGTGCAAACAAAACCTGACCCCAAATATGAAACTATTATAAATGATTTCCTTGTTACAAAATATATGCTCAGTAAGGCGTTTAAAATAAAAGGTATCAACGTAAGTTGTCTAATCAAACACCATCCCCACTTTACTATTAATGACGTCACGATTTGACTTCCAAGCGTCAATAATTGGTGCCTTCAAATCACGTAACCAAAACGAGGCTGGAAGGGAAAATAGTCTGGTTTCTTTTTGCACAAAAAACAACATCACTCAGTACTGTAATTGAATATAGGGAACATGACTGAAATGGTGGCAGCATGATAAAGGCCTATTAAGTTCTTCTTCGAAAATCATCGCGCATTTCTGAAGAGAAACAAATTTTGGACGAACCATATGGTACAGAAAGAGCAACTGGACATTATCGACCTTTCTTTTGTCCTTCCTATTATCGAACTTTCCTTCGTTTGTAAACAGTGAGCACCAGTTTGTAGGCATATGGGCTGCCAAAAGGGCATTAATAAGTCGTGGTTGGCAACAGATCTTGCAACAACAAAAGAGCACATTATCAACCGCTTTATGTAAGAAAGACGCATTTTGAATAAGTCTTTGGTACCGGTAGCGTTTGTTGATAATTTTGTATTTTCAACAATCCCATGATATGGTTGGAACAGTAATAACCATTCTTCATTTTCTGCGACGTTGGCCTTCCATAGTTTGTCAAAAGTGTCAACCACCGGTTGGAAAAGAAATGTCTGTAGGTTGACACGCTTCACGGGGGAAGGGAACAACGCTGTTTAAATGGCATACATCCCGACTTCATCACAAAACAGGCAAAGCGCAAAATGTTGCTTAACACGGAAACTTTTAGCATGTCAGAAACAGGTTACCAGCTAAACGTCATACGGTCTTCGCGTCTCTTGACTGGTTCTCAGCGATTATTTTGCTTAGCGCATGCATTTGCTGAGCACTTATTTTCTGCTTAACAGCCTTATGATATTGGCACCTGAACTCATAGAAACCCCGGAACCAAATCCATTAAAAGAGTTACAGATGGCAAAATTATCAGAAAAAAGTTAATATCTAATCGCCGCGAGATAATGAGTAACCTTTGTCCCTGGGCTGGCCACTGTTTGGACAGATAAGAGATAATATTGTTTGATGGCCTGGGTCGGCCTGAAAGGGAACAAACTCCACCGATTTAGCCTCGGTAAACGAACGAGTTCACATGAGTGGAATTTTCCAATCAGCTATAGAGATGCTAATTACGACAGTTAAGTTAATGCATTTCTGCACACGAGACAAAGTGACGAACTCTGATGGTTATCGCAGTGGGTTAATGCTGCGTAATGCCAGTTTTCTCAGATCATTCATACTTTATGAATAAAAAGGTAAAAGATGAAAGAAAATCCAGAGATTTTGCACATCATCACCAAAGATTGTAGCAATTTACAAGTATATAAAATTAAGGCAACGTGATGTTATAAAATTCAACTATGGTTGTGATAGGTTCAGCCCAATTTATTAAATGGGAGCTTTGTTTTGTTTTAGTATACTTCTCCATTGCCTACCAACACAAGCAGATTACGTACATGTAGGCGCAAATAACCATACTTATAATATACTGACGAAAAGTATACCAAAGAGGTGCGATTGAAACTGTAATTTTCTTCAATACATTTTTTATCGCAATGCATGATCAGTGTTCGATTGCAATGATACCCGAGTTTCATAATTAGGGATGCTGATATTGAGATGTGCCCTTCACGAGGCTGTGGACGCCCAAGATATTGCAAACAGGACAGGCAAGTGAGTGACACCCTAGTATTGATCGAAGAATGAAAAGCTAATTTCGTACGCCAAAGTAGAGGGGAAATTTTGCCAGGAAATAAAAGTGGCCCACCATTAAAAGTGAACTAGAAACATTCCACCAAGGGCAGCTTACCTCCACCGTTCTTGTAGCAGAGATAAGGGAACCGCCAGACGTTACCCAGGCCCACTGCGTAGCCGATACACGCCATGATGAAGTCCAACTTGTTGCCCCATCCTCCACGATCCACCTCCTCTTCTTCAACCAGTTGCTCATCGTCATCCTCCATATTCATCTGCTCCACATCCACGGGAACTATCTGGCCTCCCGCTGCCTCCAGCGCCTTCGCTTTCCCGCCGGCATCCCCATTGATTTGAACAGCCAAGCCACCCTCAGCCATGGTTGGTTGTAATATCCCCTTTCACTACCAGTGACAATTTCTCTCTATGTTTACAAAATTACTTCCACTCCTGAACTGCGAGTTTTCTTGAAATCCCTCTTGGTGTTAGTTTCTTTTAACGAAGCCTTTGTGCCAGGATAGACCCAAAAAACGCGTGCTCAACCCAATTGGTAACTAACACTTATGAGCACTGTTTACAAATGGTACTGATACAGCCAAGCACCAGAAGAATTATAATATTGATAAGTACCCGGCATCAACCAGAGGTCAAAGGTCGTAACAGTTTTAAAGGGCGTGCCGGTTCTGGATTATGATTGGGAAAGCATGAGTAACATCATTATCAGTTGTGTTCATATGTTATAGAAAAGGGATTGAAAAGGATAAAAAGTAACGTGCTAATCATTAAGCTAAGCGTTTGTTTCTTGGACTTCTGCTTATAAAGATGAATTCACGAAGGTCTTGGTATTTCCCCTCCATTGACATACAAACACATGTATATATGCCAGCATGTTTTTAAGAAATGCTGTAGTTTTGCTTTAATCCGCAATTTATATTATTTATCAACTGCAGTCACAACTATTTCAATTATATCAATAATTGACGCACAAGCGTTTTTATGTGTGAAAAGTCAAACATATTTTGTATTTCCATCTTCTTACAGACAACACTCCCTCAATTCTCCCCCTTGGTTACTCCCCCTCTTAGGCCCCTTCATTCGTTTGGTCCTCGCAAAGGTCAGACCGGACAATAGGCTACAGGGAGATGCACTTATCATTGCGCCAAAAGCTTGATAGCCATTGATTGGCAGGGTATTGCAACGATTAGAATGTTTGTACTAAAGAAAAACTTCTATTATATCACTCTTCAGTAAATAATATGTCGAACTTTTGTGGGCCCGGGTGCAAATAGGAACTGCGTCAACGGTCTTTTATCGTTGTATCACTTGCCCGATACCAAAAACTATGCATATGACAATTGTACCATATGGACCGAAAATTAAACAGTGGGAAAATTAACAATGACACCAGCTAAGCTAGTGTTACACCAAAGCACTGGTACTACTGCTAGATAAAAGACGGGCTGACTTCTCCAATTTAGTTTTCTCCCCTTCAACGACGAATTTTTCTTATAAAACTCTCATCCCACAAACATTGTGAAGTTTTACTCGCAAGGTTATAAAATTGTGTCGGAGAAGGGCGAAAACCAATACTAAAATGTACATCCCTGTGACTCAAAATCCATCAAACTATGAAGCTATTTCTTTCCTATGAGCATTTTCTTTATCCCTTGATGGTGTTACCATGGTAGCCCAGCATCATCTCCAACTTCAAGTTGACATTGTTCCACTATATCTACGGTCATGTTCCCAAGGAAGGCATACACACAAAGGTTCTCATATTTTACCGGACAAAAAAAATACATCATGTTTAAAAGAATTTCTGCTGTCATATATTTAAGCAATGCTCAATGTTAAGTACCCTTTTATCACCATCGTCGTTCATGATCCTGTCGGAAGCCATTTCTTTTTTTGTTGACCCTTCAAAATCTAGCACACACTGTCTCAACAACATACATTGGTTCGCCACTTAAACATGCTTACATAGCCAGTCCGATGATCAGCTATCCAAAAGATGACACGAAACACCTTTGTTTTTAACATGAATTCCTTTTTATGTACTAAAATGCCAACATGTTTTTATGTACTGAATGAAAACACGCATTCACTCTTTTTAAAACTGTCATACCTCTTTTTTGTGTTTTTTGTTTGTTTAAAAAACTGGAGGCGTGGTCACGTGATACCAACTCTTATAGGGACCTGTTCTATTCTGCACCGCTGTACATACACTGCATGTATACATATCACCTGAAACATAAGTGGAAACATGGGTGATACTTTTGTATAGAGATGTTGCGAGTCGCTCGGCAACCGTCAGGCGCATGACGTCGAAACGTGACATGGTTCCCAATGATACCGTGACCAGGGCCTAATTTCATGGCTCTGGTTAATTACCGTTAGCGAACAATCCCTACTTACTTTAAGCGGAAAAAGTCCGTGCTTACGGTAAGCGTATTTCACGTGTTAGCTTCTGCACATGCGTACACCACATAATTACTTTAAGCTGCTTACTTAAAGCGGAAAAAGCCCGTGCTTACGGAGAGCGTATTTTACGTGTTAGCTTCTGCACATGCGTACATCACATAATTACTTTAAGCTGCTTACTTCAAGCGGAAAAAGCCCGTGCTTACGGTAAGTGTATTTCACGGGTTAGCTTCTGCACATGCGTACATCACATAATTACTTTAAGCTGCTTACTTCAAGCGGAAAAAGCCCGTGCTTACGGTAAGTGTATTTCACGGGTTAGCTTCTGCACATGCGTACATCACATAATTACTTTAAGCTGCTTACTTCAAGCGGAAAAAGCCCGTGCTTACGGTAAGTGTATTTCACGGGTTAGCTTCTGCACATGCGTACATCACATAATTACTTTAAGCTGCTTGCTTTAAGCAGAAAAAGTCCGTGCTTACGGTAAGCGTATTTCTCGGGTTAGCTTCTGCACATGGGTACATCACATAATTACTTTAAGCTGCTTGCTTTAAGCAGAAAAAAGTCCCTGCTTACGGTAAGCGTATTTCACGGGTTAGCTTCTGCACATGCGTACATCCTATAACTAAGGATTCTGTACTTACAGGGTTAGCTCGGATTTTTTTCTGTTAGCGTTGTTAGCATAATGGTGATCGTAACGCGGAATTGTGCGGCTAGCAGAGAGCCATGAAATTAGGCCAAGTACAGCCGGTTTTTTCATACAAAAGGCCATTTCTTTTTAATTTTTTTTTTTAAGAAAGAGAACCCTTTTTTTTCCTTACAAAATGACAACAAACTTCTACAAAATGAAAACACACCAGACGATATATAATAATACTTAAGAATTGTGTCATAAATATCTTTACACCAAAGCTACTTCGCTTATTTGTACGGATGGTTATGGTGCAACGAGCATATGGCACCGGTAACCCCAGAACTCGTCCTTGCCATTTGATTTCATACCTGCAAAGCGTGTCCCTTTTTATCCATCGGTGCAAAACGATTTTTGTACATTGTCCGATCAAATCTGATATACACCAAATAATGTTATCTCCATCGAACAAAAGAATAAACTGAACGGGTTGAATTTTTATCTGAAGTATAATGATGTGTTTGCTGTTTGTTTAAGAGTCTGAGTTAATGCAGAAAGTAAGAAAATACCGTCCCACATACAGTGAGAGAAACATATTCCGAATACGTAGCCCCACAGTGTCCAAGGGCGGATCCAGAACACAATTTTGTTGGGGGGGGGGGGCAAACAAAATTTTGGTCCCCCCCCAAAAAAAATGGGTCAATTTTTTTTTTTTTTTTAGGAAAAGAGGGTGGTGTACACAGTGCCTGCCTTTATGGCGACGTCAATTAAAAAACAAAAACAAATTGGGTTCGTTTATATTTTAACCCTTTTTTTTGGGGGGGGGAAGCATGGCTGCCGTTGCCCCCCCCCGGATCCGCCCTTGACAGTGTCTCCAACCCTTGGAAATCCAACGCCTAAAGCATCCAAACAAGTTGACGCCTATAGATCTTAGTCCCATAGGCCTATCATTCTCTCAGTGTGAAGCTGTACAGACGGAATCAAGTGTGTTCTTTCTGCCGCCAGGGCGTTTGGACTTGTACTATACCTGATAAAATGAAACCCAAAAAGGACAAAGTGATACCAAACGTGCAAGCACGGTACACGTTCTTTGCAACATTATGACGTCTACCCAATTCCTGTCTCCACCCACCCCTCCACTAGCTACTTATCTACATACATGAATATATGTAATCCTGGGCGTTGCCTTAAACAATCAAAATTCAGGCGTGGTTCACTCTTAGGGATCAAAGTATCAGTGGCGGTGACTCGCCACGTGTTTGAATTCACATAGGCGTTGACGTGTTTGTTGTCCCCTTTAATAATTATTCATTTTCTCGACACGTACACACGCGCCTTGAAGTCATGCGCAAATAGCAACAGAGTTAAACGGATTGGATGACTTTTTTAACGCTGGTGTGTCCTCTCTCAGAAGCATGACAAATCAATGTTTCCTCGATGAATACGGGACACATAGCTGACCCCGCGGGGTCGGTGATTTGACGGGGAAGGTGAGAACTCAAGACTCCTGTTACTCTGGAACTACAGTTCAATATATTGTGTCATTTTCTCTTAAACAAAATGTTTCCTTTTTTGGCACAACACATGGCTGTTTAATAATAATTCGATATCACGTTCATCCTAATGGCTTAGTTTCTTCAAACGAAAACCTATGTCACACAGTTAAAGACTTTATTACGGAATTCGATATGGAAAAAGATGACTTTTGATTTGCTTTAAACTATGCAAACCTTCAGTCAGAATATTGTTCAATAACTTGTGAGTTTGTTTTAAAATATCGAAAAATAAAACTGACAAGCGCCTGAGGAAGTACTAGATATATGATTTGGAATACTGCTTTGGAATTTTTAGGTAATTAAGATCAAGACAAAATATAGACACTTCGTCCATTAATGGTTTTCTTCGAATTGTACACAAGCTGCTAATAATAATGTGTCCCCTTAGCTTAGGCTTCAGATGGAAATGAGACGCAATGAACTGATGTGGAAGATGTAAACCCCAAGATGGGCGGGCCTTAGAATCATCTCCAAATATGAACTGAACAAAAGAAAAACCGTAGATTTTGTGCTGATCCTCAAATTTTATCAATATTCGTTCGTAACTGTTCCATGTCTTGTCTCCAAAAATTCGTCCTTCAATGCACGCCCTTGTATACTATATTCAGTGACCAACCATTTATTTTATATCGTTCGATGATAATTTATTAAAGTTATTTAAATTTTTAGCCAAAGTCACACGTCGTGCTCTGTAAATGATATTAATAAAACACCGAATTGGCACTTTGAAAGTAAAAGAAATAAAATGATTTCCAAAAAGGCTGACGGAACACTCCATTTTTAAGTCAAGGCAAATGCAATCGCAAGCTTGCGTTGTTTGTTTTTTAATAGATTTTCCAGATATTTGCAAGAGTTTTTATAATAACAAGCTCGAAATGATCTCGGCAGCTGCGGGTAAACGCATTTGTGTTCATGCATATGTGATGTGCATTATGCCAAGTACTTTTTGGAAGGAGTAGGTAGGTTTTTTTCCAGTACAAACATCAGGTTTC